GTATTTGGTAACTGAGCGAGATGGGCAAATCGAGTAAACAGAAAGAAAAGCATGAAAAAAGTTCTGAACTTTCCCAACATAATTGCAATGAAGGAACTGCTGCCAGGACAAGACCGTTCAGCTATGATGAGATTATGTTAAGACGGAAAAGCAAGAAGCTGTATGAAAATGATGAAATTGTCAAACAAGGAGATGCAGGAGCGGGGAATCTAACGAGCATATGTCCTGCTGATAATGCTTCAACCATTCATGAACATGAAAGAGCTTATGGAAGAAGTAAGGATTCTTCTCCTGGTGCTCAAAAGCACTTGTCAGAGGAATTTGGGAAGAGAAGCCCTAGAAATGGTGTGGAGAATACATCCACAAGAACAGGTAGCATACGTAAATGGGAAGATAAAGAGATTCGTGAATCAGACAAGCATTTGAAGGCTGAAAGAAGAAAAGATATTAACACTGCAGATAAAGGAAGAAATGAGAAACCAATGCATGACAGGAGAAAAAATGAGAAATCAATTGATTACCATAAAAATTTAAATGAAAAGAAGCATTCAAGAGATTTGGTGGGAAGAGATAGGCATGTAGGAAGAAGTGAGCAAAAATTTGAGAAAGAAAGCAAGAGAAAACATCAAAATGGAGATGATCAGAAAAAAGGAGAAAAAAGTGCTACTAGAAAACACAATATAGGGACAGGGCATGGGTCAGAAATTTCTGATAGAAAGGAAAGGAAGGCTTTGTTGCAATCACATTATGAAGAAGCACAGCATAAAAGGAGACGCTTGCGAAGTAGAGAGCATGAGGATAAGCATAAGAGATCTATCTCGCCTTCACCTCATGCAGACAAACGTACATCTCACCATGCAAAGGACCATGAGCTTTCCTCACATATTCTTAAAGATAGGTCAGGGAGATCACGCTCTGACATCGAAAAAAGCAGATTTGCTAGTAATGGTTCTAGTAGTTATCGCAAGAGACATGTCAGCTACTCAAGTGGGCTTGGTGGGTATTCACCAAGGAAGAGGAGAACTGAAATTGATGTGAAGATTCCTTCCCCAACTCATCGTTCACCTGGGAAGAGAACTGCTAAGTGGGATCTTGCACCTTCAGGGGCAGACAAGATTATGTCTAGTTCAGTTTCTTCTGATCTCCATACATCAAACCAGAACACATCCTCAAATGTACAAGAAATGATACGTGCTGTTCCTAAATTTTTCACTACTTCAAATCCTCTTGCTGCAATGGCAGCCAACTATTTATCAACAAAACAGAAAGTATCCATTGACTCTGTTCAGCTGACTGAAGCCACCCGGCCTATGAGAAGGCTTTATGTGGAAAATGTACCAGCTTCAGCCTCTGAGAAAGCTATCATGAAATGCCTCAATAATTTTTTGCTTTCATCAGGCATTAATCATGTTCCAGGAACTCAACCATGTATTAGTTGTATTGTAAGTCACTGATTTATTAGTGATTACCATGACTTTTTTCCTTATTAAGCATATGCATTCATCTTAGGAATTGTCTCATATGTCTTACTTGCAGATACACAAGGAGAAAGGTCAAGCTCTTGTTGAGTTTCTTACACCTGAGGATGCTTCTGCAGCTCTTTCTTTTGATGGCTGTACCTTCTCTAACTCCATTCTCAAAATGAGACGTCCTAAAGACTTTGTTGAATTGGTAATACAAATAAATATCCTAGTCATCTATTTCTGAATATTTTTCTTTTCTTTTTCCAATTGGCTTTCTGCAGTTTTCTTCCTTTTTTATACTTTTATATCTGGTTGATTTATGAACTATCATTTTGTTGAGTTTGATGTTATTTTCCATATCTTTGATTTTTGGCCATTGTTGGATGAATAGGAATGTCTTGGCAATTTGTTAGGTTTCTAGGTATAATCATTGCATCACAATCTGACTTTTTATATACTATGGCACAAAAGTTGACAGTTAAATTGTGATAGTTTTGTGTCACCTCATACTCTCATAGAATTAATCAGAGAGCAATGGAGTGTTAATTTTATGGCTTTATATTTTGCACCTCAACTTCTTTCATATTGAAAGGGCATGTCAGTCTCTGTCTACCGAAATATGATGAAGTGGATGGCTGTTAATAAATGTTACTTTCATTAGAAAAGCTATATGCTCTTTGCTTGCTTATTTTATGCATATGTATTGCTGAAAAAGGCAATTCAGAGAGTTTGGGCCAGTCAGGTCTTATATCTTTTGATTCTGAATCTTGGAAACAATGAAGAATGTTTCTAGAAAGTATGCGTCTATTATTTTTGTATTACTGGCACTAAGATGGAAATGGTTAGAAGGGTCAATTGTCAAAATGTCTTCCATCCCTCTCTCTGTATCTCCATCTCTCTTCCAGAGAAGTGATTGTGATATCCCTCACCCCCCTCACCTCTAGGACATGTGCAGTTGTCTAAATGCTACTATTTATTCAGCTTGCTTTCCTTTAAAACAGTAAATTTGATGAAGTGTTGAGGTTCCCATTGCGTGATGGGAACTGATATGTGAAGATTGTTGATAATGTTATTCTGTGATATGGAGCTACGGCTCTGAGCTAAGAGAGCAGGAACCAGAGAAATTGGAGAGTATATGCGGTTTATTTGGCTAAGGCCTTTAATTATTTCAGGCCTTCCTATTAATAATCACAGGAGTATTGGGACAAAGACAATGTCAGGTTTTAATATTGCTATGCTCTTCTACTCTGGAATTTTGTTCTCTCCAGTCTCTAAATCATCATTTAATTTTCATTATTTTGTATGCTTTCCTTTATGGCATTTACATAAGCAGTATTCTTCTTATATTCAGCTAGAACTTAATGTACCTCTGAAAAATAGAAAACATTCTGGTACTGCTTTGCAGTTTCTGTCTTTCTGAGGCATATTGTGGTTACTAGCAGGTTTTCAGACAGTTCCTATTTTCATGCAGACTGGTGAACTGGAAAACTCAGAGGCTGCAGTCACTGTCAGTGATATTGTGAAGGATTCACCTCACAAGGTATGCATTCCATTATAATCCTTAGCTACTAGTGGGGAATATGGATGTATGTATGCCGCTGGAGTGTTAAATATTTTGCACTTTGCTAATTCATTTTATGTCATTCTGTACACCAGTGGTTAGATGGCCAGTTACAGTGGTAGCTTATGGTGGCATTACTGAACTTCTAAACTATAATCAGTTCATCAAGGGTTATTAATTCTTTTCTTCCTTGCTGTTCCTAACATATGATTTTTTTTTTTTCTATTTTTGTCCTTTAGCTTATTATAAATAGCAAGATTTTAGCTTGTCTGGATGAGTCTTCTCTGATGGGTTGTCCGAATGACTCTTTAGTGTGCTGATATTCTGCTAATGTGTCACTTCTGTACTGCTTTTCTCTTGGTTTTGACATACTTCTTATGTGGTTGATGTTGTGAATCTTCATGTCATTTCTTGTGAGTTTTGCAGATCTTCCTTGGTGGAATTTCAAAGGCTCTTTCTTCTGAAATGGTAATATAATTTTAGCCAATTTGATGCTTAGGTTTAAGGTCGTCTATTCCCAACCAAGTCCTTCCTTCTTGTCTGTTTGTTTACCTTTTTTATTCTGAATTTCTATTTTTTGTCGATCTCTTAACCTCACTAGTATTTTATCCTGCTTTTCTAGCTTATGGAGATTGCTAGTTCTTTTGGTCCTTTGAAGGCTTATCACTTTGAGATCAATGGGGATCTAAATCAGCCATGTGCTTTTGTGGAGGTAATAGAGCATCCTTTTACCATGTTCTGTATTATTATTTTCTGTATGACTAAGCAAGCAGAAGTTAAAGCAATGCAGTTCTTCTCTCTACTCTTTCCAGGATTACTTTTGTACAATTTTATTGTAATATATGATTACCCCACTTTCACACCCTATCCTCTCATGCATCTGAAGATTCTGAACCAATACCACATTCATCATTTCATGTAGCTAGAGCCTAGAACAGCTCTGCATTTTAAAATGACTGGTGGATTATATACGGTAAATGATTGATAAACAATTTTTCTCTTCATTACTAAAGTATCAAATTTCAATATGAGGATTTCGAATTTGAATGTATTCAGAAAAAGTGTTTCTATCCTAGGTTCATTTAGGTTTCCAGCATTAATAAAATTTTTAAATATGTTACTCCTTTATGCTTGTATTCTATCCTTTTTCTTTCATTTCTCTCTCTCTCTCTTGTTTTTTTTTTTTTCCTTTGTTTGCAAGTCTTTCCACTTTACTGACATTGTTTTTAACTTGTGCTGGGTATGCCAGTATGTAGATCAATCGGTTTCTCTCAAAGCCTGTGCGAGTCTCAATGGTATGAAGTTGGGAGGGCAAGTGCTAACTGCAGTTCAGGCTCTTCCAAACGCATCATTCTTGGTACTTAATTTCCATGTTTCTCTTTTTCTTACATAGCTGTAGCTCTTCAATATCTTGATTAATTTTCTAATTCCTATTTTTTGTATTGTTATGGAAGATTTTATACTAACAAGTAGGAACATTCTTCAGGAAAATATAGGAGACCAACCATTTTATGGAATTCCTGAGCTTGCAAGGCCCCTTCTTGAGAAGCCTACTCAAGTCCTTAAGCTTAAAAATCTGGTAAAGTGGTCTACTTTTAATTTGCTCTTACTTTTGGTAGTTCTATCATGTTCTTCTTAAGTTGTACAATGAGCATTTTTTTCTTTTTCATTGGTATTCCTTAAAATGAAAGGCATGGTTATTTTCTTCTTAATTGTGATCTAGTTCAATATGGAAGGCTTTTCATCATTATCTGATGCAGAAGCGGAAGAAGTACTAGAGGATGTACGACTAGAGTGTGCCAGGTCTGGAAGAATCATTTAAATTTTTTCCCCTTTATAGTCGTAGTTATTTAAAATTGGGAGCTTGGATAATTTACCATAAATCTCAATCCTTCAGGTTTGGTACTGTAAAATCTGTTCACGTTGTCAAGGACTTGAACAGTATCTTCACTGATGGAGGAACAAATGAAGTTAATGATTATATGGAGCATGGCGGGGACAGGCAGAAGTCAAAAACTGAAGAGAAAAATATGGAAAGGGAGACTGTGGAAGAATATTACGATGAGAAGTCAAGAAGAATTACTGGGATAGAATTTCAAAGTGATCCTGAACAGGCAGAGGAAGCCGATAAACATATGCAGGACATCAATATTAATGATGACAAACCTGCAATCAATCTAATGGATGAGGAGTTCTGTAAACAGGGAAAGCTTGAAGGCAATGTTGGTATTGAAGATATAGCCTATGAGAGAAAAGGGGCTGAGGCATGCCAACTTGGTCAGTTTGATACATGTAGTGCTGCTGTAGATCATCTAGATAGCAATGTGACTGTTGTAGATCCATTTTATGGAAGTGTGTCCTTATCAGTATCTCAAGGGCTTCCTAACCCTCCACATACCTTAAAACAAGACTCAGTAGGTCATGATGACAAGATTGCTGATAATCTTCAAACAGAATCCTTGAGCGTGGGAAAGAAATCAACAGCTGAAGATTTGAATCTGGAGGAAGTCAATGGAAAGTCGCTGGTAACTGATGCTCAGTCAGCTGGTAGTTTAAAGGTGGAATCAGACACTATTGAGAAGGATGACAACAAGGATGCCTCAGTGGGTCACCATGACAAGGTTCCTGATAATACTCAAACAGAAGCTTCAACTGTGGGAAAGAAAGCTGAAGATTCAGATTCAGAGGTTAATGGAAAGTTGGAAAATCTTGCTGTGTCAGCTGGTAGTATAGAAGTGGAATCAGATGCTATTGAAAAGGATAACTACAAGGAAAAGGAGACTTACTTACAGCACATTTTTGAGCCAGGCTGTGTTTTTGTTGAGTATAGAAGAACAGAATCGTCTTGCATGGCGGCACATTGTCTTCAAGGACGGTCATTTGATGACCGAATTGTGACTGTAGAGTATGTTGATCCAGAAATTTACCGTCAAAAGTTTCCAAAATGAATGTGCAAATGGAGAGACAAGAAACCAAAATATATACCATCACCATCCCCATCCCCATCAACCAGAGTATGCAATTTACAGCTGAATCCTCGCCCTGTGCCTGGTAACAACTCATTTGTTAAGATTCCAAGTTTTCCAGCGTTATGATGCTACTATATTTTGAAATTTGCTTAATATATCATGGATTACCCATGGATATAAAGCTTTGAGGCATCATCGAGTTACAGGGTCCTGATGTACTGAAGACAATCTGGTGCCGTCAGTTATTCCCTGTGTTGACCTATTTTTGAGAAGCCAATTTGTCAAAGTATCTGTATTTGACCATACTTTAGATCCTTTAGTGATCTTGACTAGGTACTAAAATAGGTAATGCACATTAACACCGATTTCAGTTTGCTTATGTTGATTATAGATGGCCATAATATAGACTGTAAACTTCAGATCTTTTTTTTTTTTTTCAACTATGAATGATTTCCCCCTTTAATTAACAAACCACCAAGAAAATTAAGTGAATCCTTTTTTTGGTATATTAGAAGTTAGTTGCTCTGGCTCGGCGTTGTAAGGGGTTGAATTTCTAACCTTTATTTCAAACTAAGGTCTTTTAATTGGTGAAAAACATGAAATAAAGGGAATTATCACATTTTTAAAAAATTATTATTCCATATTTATTCCTTAGTTTGAAAAAAATGATCAAACATAATTTTCTATTATTTTTATGATTTTATCAAGAAATACTTTTATTCTTCCAAACCAAGTTATTGCTGTATGAGTTGAAAACAAAGATAGAAAATTACTAGAAAATTTTACGTGGAGGGTGAACATGTAACTTCCAAAAACAAGAGGCCTCACCTTAAGCTCCTACATGGAGTGAGTAGTCTCAAAGTGCAAAAAAAATGACCTTGAGACAACGTACCCTTCCTTGAGACAACATACCCTTCCAAACCCCCAAAAAAGGGGGAGAATTCTAAAAAGCGTGGGTTCAAAAAAATAATATAAGTTAGGATGGATAACAAAAAACATTTTTAAAAAAGTCCTAAAAGCTCAAATTATCTCAAATTGGTACCTCGTGATACCAAATTTACCCTTTAGGTAACACAGTTTATTTTTATTTGATTAAATGCTAAATTTGGTCCCTCAACTTTAGTGAGTTGCACATTTTTGGTCCCTTAACAATTTTTTATATTTTTTTGATCCCTTAACTCTAAAATTTGCACAGTTTTGGTCCCTCTGTCAGTTAAGTATAAGGTGGCAGTTAAATAATTTTGTGTGGCATTATTTTTTAATTTTTTTGATGATGTGGCACTAATATATATTATATTTATATTATATAAATAAATAAAAGTG